GATATGTATAGATCTGTTTCATTCATTTAGCCAGTTTACAGCATTCCATTGTCCAAATTAATCAGCTTCTTATCCTTTCACAACTGGGGACCAGGCAGTTGCTGTCATATTTTGGCTATTATAACGTGTTGTCATGAGCAGAACTAGCTGTTCTCCGCAACAGGTGCCTAGAATGGCATTTTTGACTTCTAGGGTATTAACTAAACATCACAAAATTGCTCTTCAAAGCAGCTATGCGCAGCCCAGTCCTCCCACCGTGGTGAGAGCCCCTCCTTCACCACAGCCTCGTTAGCCGTCACGCTGTTAGACAGCTAGGTTTTACCAATAGGAGGAAATTTAAATGATCTCTCACTTTATTTCGCATTTCTGATTACTAGTGAAACAGTACTTTTTCTTACGTTTATTGGTTATTCTGATTTCTTCTCTGTGAATTCCCTCTTCATGTCTTTGCCCATTTTTCTTTCCTGTTGCTTACGTATTTCTTATTGATTTGGAGGCAATCTTTCTATAAATATTCTTCTTTCTAATCTTCTAATTCTAAAATTTTCTAAAATTCCTAAAGTTTTGTTTGTTAATCCATGTGGAATTTATTTTTATACATGGCATGAAATTAGAATTGAATTTTATATTTTTCACATGGATAACCAGTCACGCCAGCACCATGTACTGGCTGCGCCTTCCTTACTCCTGCGTAGGCAGAATCATTGCTCCCTACCCCAAAGACGTCTACATCCTAATCCCCAGACTTATAAATATGTTACGCTACACTGCCAAGGGAATTAAAGTTGCTGATCAGCTGACCTTGACATAGAGAAATGATCCTGGATTACCTGGGTGGGTCCAACATACCCGCAACAGTCCTGGTAGGTGGAAGAGAGGCAGGAGAGCCAGGGTCGGGGAGACTGGAATATGCTGCACTACTGCCTTTGAAGATGGAGGAAGGGGCCAAGTGATGCTGACAGCCTCCAGAAGCTGGGAAAGGCACGGAAATGAATTCTCCCCTACAGCCTCCAGAAGGAACCAGCCCTGCTGAGACTTTGAATCAAGCCTATGAGACCCATTTTGGACTTCTGACCTCAGAACTATAAAGGAATAAGTCTGTGTTGTTTTTAAGTCACTAAGTTTGTGGTAATTTGTTATAGCAGCAGCAGGAGACTACTACATTCCTCATCTGTAAGCTGTCACATACCATGCTGGCTTTGTACCGTTATCTGTTTATCTCTGCATCAATGCCATATTCTTCCAGTTACCATAACTTTATGGTAAGTCTGCAAATCAAGAAAGGTGAAGCCCCCCGTCTTCTTCAAAATGCCTTGGCTGTTCTTGACTATGTATTTCTTTAATTAAAAAAAAAAAAAAAAGAATCTATCTTAAATGAAAGTAAATTCAGACCATGGGGAAATACATTCCAGGCAGACAGCATGAGCCGAAGACTCAAAGTCATGGAAACACATGGCATGGTTAGTGAATCACAACGGCACAAGTAGCTAGGAAAAGTTGCAAAACTACCAAACTATCAGCGTTGGGAGTGGAAGATTTCTGTAGCCTAGAAACCAATAATAGCAGTGAAAGACTTCTACTTCTGCCAAGATGGAGTAACAGGGTCCAGATTTACCCTCCTATCTGAGACAAATTTAAAAACTAAAAGCAGACAAAATATATAAAACAATGGTTTTCAAGACAATGGACTTCAGGTAACAAAGGAGAGTGATCCTGAGGGGCAGGAAACAAAAGAGGGGAGCCCTCCAATTGCCCCAGCTTACTGTGTTCAGCAAGTCTGCAGGTCACAGAGAAGGGAAGGAAAACACAGGCAGAGCACAGTGGACCCTGATTTGAGAAGACAGAGCTAAGGGTCCAGGGAGGCCAAGGAAGCTCAAGTTCAAAGGACAGAGCACCAGAGAGGAAGAGTTACCCAGACAGAAACTCTGATCATGTACCACAGGGTCTCCCTCCAGCACTCAGTAGGGTACTGATAAGCAAACTAACAAAGGCCAGAGAAAGAGCCACCAGAAAGGATTACAGAGAACAGTACTTGGTGTTCACAGGGCCAGACATAGCGCCTGTTCACACCAGCCATTTTTCATGGGACACCGGCAGAGTACGCAAAAGGGTCTTGTCATCTTAGTAGGGAATAATTAATCCCACCTAACAAATCCTGAAAGGTTCAAACAACTTTCAAAGCTTAAGAATATTTATCAAATACAAAAATATTCAGCACCAGATGAAATTCCCAATATCTGGAATCCAATACAAAATTATCAGACATGCAAAGAGGTGGAAAAATATAACCCAAGTTAAAACAAAAATCAATCAAACAAAACCAATCTAGAACTGACAAAGATATTAGAGTTAGTAAATAAGGATATTAAGATACTGTATCTCATATAAATATAATAAAATAAAATAGTTTTCAACAAAACTATATGAGTATGTCATATATCCAAAAAGTTAGAGGAAACATTGAACATATCAAGTCAAGACATGGAAGTTATAAAACAGACCCAAACAGAACTTCTAGAGATGGAAATTACAGTATCTGAGATGAAAAATACAGTGGATGGAATTAATGGCAGATCAGACGCTGCAGAAGAAAAGATGAGTGAACTTGAAGACACAGCAACAGAAACTATCCAAAATGAAAGAGAGAGAGAAAAAAAGATCAGGAAAAGTGGACAGAACACCAGGGAGCTGTGAGACAACCTCTAGCAGGCTGATATGCGTGTAATTGGGGCCGCCAGAGGAGAGGATGAGAGAGGAAGACGGAAGAAAACATTTGAAGAAATAATGACCACAAATTTTCTGAATGTGATGAAAACTATAAATCCAGAGTTCCAATAAGCTCGATGAACCACAAGCAAAGAGTCAGTTACAGAACAACTCTGGGAAAACGGAGGCAGCGCAGACTCCAATCCCCTCGTGAAAGAGACACGGTAACTAGGGAAGCAGAACCAGATCCACAGAGGACGTCACAACTGATCCAGCCCAAAAGAAGCCCAACAGCAGGGCCGTCCCATCAGAGTTTATAATTAATTTGATCAGAAGGTCTTCAAACATAAGTAGCTGCTTGTTTCCAATGCCATAACTACAACATAATCTAAACACTTGAAAATTCCTTTCCAGAAAAGGTAATTATATTTTTCCATTAAAGTTAGCTATATAGGTTCATTCTCTAAAGAAATTATCTATTCAGGTATTTCTACAAACACAGGTGAACTATGTTTATTGCATATTATTATAGTCCTTTTAAGTAACTTAATCAAAAATCAGAGCAATTATGTTTAGATTTAATCACAAAATATACCTATTTTATACTCTAGGATCCAATCTTCCTTTCATATTTACGTTCTTAGAGGTTGATATTTCTTTATTTTTAAAATGTAACTATGAATATATGTCAAAGAAGGAAAGATACTAGATTGAAAGCAGAGGATGGGCTAGAAATAGATTTGACCCTTTGTTTAGTATTTTTAAACTTGAGTCCTAAGACTTCAATGCATTCAGCTTTCTCAAATAAAATTGGCAATTTATTCTAAACTGACTCTGACAGAAAATACATGCCTACCACCCACTACTGCAAGGGTTCTAGCAGACATTCTGGCAATACCTCAAGTACAAGGGGTGCTGTACATTTCGGTACCACTTACATAAGATGGATTATTAATGCATACATCGGTGATAAAAAGAAATACTGAGAACAATCTGGAAAGCAGAATATTCAAAAACTGAGAGAACAGAACGATCAAAACCATCAAATGTACTGCCTCTATGAAGAAGGAAAATACTTAGTGATGTGGTTTGTCTCTAAGCAGTCAACCATCAAGTTTTGGTACCTGAAAATCTTTAGACAACTCAGAAAATCCTGGAAGACCATGAAAATGGAGGTCAACATACCAAGTTCTAGGCCACAGAAATAAGAATGCTGCAGTCACCAATTGTAATTCGATTAAATTCAACAAGACTAGTTTCCATAAACTAGAATCACAACTCATAAAGAAAATCACTCCCAAGTGAAAGAATCACCAGCACCTTTGTGCCAGGACTCACACCGAGAAGAGAAAGCAAGTCCTCCCTGGACACTGGCACCTACCAGCTAGAGGAAAGCCATCGGGAGGACGGGGAACACGAAGCTTCCCTCTACCAGCTTACACATTTGTTCATTCCTGATCCTTCCATGTAGAACCAGCAAAGAGAATAATGGCCTGTGATCTCGGGGTCCTAGAACCTTCTTTGACTAGCGAGATCTCCAGATGCCTAGTGCGAAGGATCTACTCACTCAGGGTGGACTTCTAGAACACCCCCTTTCAACTTCTGCCTCTCGCTTCATTATAGATGAAATTCACCATCAGGACATGGGTCTAAACTAAGAGGCCCTGAACACAGGGTACTGGCCACCGCAGAAGACGCTGAGCCAACCAAATACTACTGACAACTGGCAGTAGCTTTTTAACCATCTAAATGCACGCAGCTTTGTCACCACCCACAAGGCAAGGACTGTACCTCTGCTGGTAGCCCTGGCTGCTTGCAGCCAATTATTACTCCCTTTCTAAAGAAAGCCACATACCGAGATAGACTCCCAGCCCCCAAGGACAGTGCTTCAAGGTGAGAAGACAGCTACATTAACAGTGCAAACTAGAGCTGGCAGGCAGTCCTGGCTTTCAGGCAGCCTCTCATCCTCAGTCCCAGGCTTGCGGGACACCCACATAAAGTGCCCTTTTAGGCGTTAGTGACAGAACCACCCACAGATGCTTGCCCGGGGAGCTGTCAAGTAACTGAGACGAGTGGCTAAAGCACAGGTGACAAATGCTGGGCCACACTTTGTCACTGTCCAATTCTACACCTCCATACCAAGCAAAATCCCAACTAACTGGTTCAAATTAAAGCAATCTGTGGCCATTATCTTAAGAGTGTGGTGACTACTATACTGGACTAAGTACTCTTGCCGGGGAACAGATGGAAGTCGTGCTGTGTGCCTGTAAAGTCAGCTCTGTGGGAACACTTACTTGATGGGGACGTGGGTGGCTTCCTGGAGGGCCTCCGCTCTGCTCTGGTGCTGCTGGCATGCTCTGTGGGTGTGTCCTGGTGTTCTTCGGAGCTCAGGGAGAACTGGAACTGGACCGTTCCTGACTCCACCTGCTTCACCTGGGATTGAGCACAACGAGAGCGATGATGGCCTCTCCCATCGTCAGCAGTCCTGTCACAATGATTCAACCAGGAACAACACGCCCGGCCCCAGAACAGAGTCTAAGCAAAATCAAAGACTTCTGAAGCCACATGTTCTCAGATTATAGTCAAGTAATTTTCTGAGCAGAAAACAATTGGTTATGGCATTAAAATCCCATAGGACCATATTATCACAGAATGACCATTACCCAACTAGAAATTAAAAATACAGGTTGAGTGTCCCTTACCTGAAATGCTTGGAACCAGAAGTGTTTCAAATTTCAGATGTTTTCAGAATTTGGAATATTCGCATTATATCCAGCGAACACTTCCTTTGAGCGTCGTGTTGACACTCAAAAAAGTTTCTGATTTTGGAGCATTTCAGGTTTCAGATTCTTGGATCAGGGATGCTCAACCTGTATATCTCCAGTTTGAATGTGTGTTTTTTTTTTATTAAACTATGTAAAACTGACTTTTTAAATTTTAGTTCTATGGGTTTTAACACACGTGTAGATTCACGTAACCAGCACCACATCAGGATACAGACCAGCTCCGTGACCCCAAACACTCCCTTGAGCTGCCCCTTGTAGTCATATCTTGCCCCACCTAACCCCAGCAATCACTGATCACTTCCCCAGCACTACAGTTTGGTCTTTTGGAGAATGTGACGTAAATGCAATCATGTGATATAAAGCTTTTGAGACTGGCTTCTTCTATTCAACATAATGCTGATGACATCCATCCAAGTTGTAGCACTTGTTGTACATCAGCAGGTCACTCCTGTTTATTACTGAGCAGCATTCTGTTGCATGGATGTACCACGGTTTACTTAGCCATTCACGCATTTAAGAACATTTGGGTTGTCTGCAGTCTGGATGATTATAAATAGAGCTGTTATATACTGGTGTACAGACTTCTGTGTGAACACACATTTTCACTCCTCCAAGAGTAGGCCTGCTGGGTCATATGGTATGTATGTATCAAATTTTATAAGAAACTTCTAAACTGTGATTTATTTCTGGACTTTTATTCTGTTCCATCAATCTTTGTGCCAATCTCTTCACCAATAGCACTCTATATTGATTATCGTAGCTTTTCCAGTCTTACTACAGGTTCATCAATTTTGTTAATCTCTTCAAAGACTCAGTTTTTTGGTTCATTGGTTTTTCCCTATTTTTTAATCTATTATGTTTCTGTTTTCAATTTCATTGGTTCCTGCTCTTTATTACTGACTTTCCTCTTCTTGCTTTAGGTTCATTTTGCTATTCTTTTTCCAATTTCTAAAAGCAGGTCAGATTATTGACTTAAGATCTTTTTTTGTCCTAATATAAGCATTTAATGCTATAGATTTTTTAAAATTTGATATGTTGTATTTCCATTTTTTTTCAGTTCAAAATATTTATTTTCTCGTGAGGCTTCCTCTTTGACTTATGGATTATTTAGAAATACATTGTTCAATTTCCAACTGTTTGGAAATTTTTATGTTATCTTTGTTATTAATTTCTAGTTTAATTCCCTTATGATCAGAGAATATACCTTGTATAATTTCAATTTTTTTTTAATTATTAAAGCTTGTTTTATGACCCAGGATACTGTCTATCTTGGTGAATGTTCCATGTACACTGGAAAAAATGTGTATTCTGCTGCTGTTGGGTTGAGTATTCTACATGTGTCATTTTTTTTTTTTTTTTTTTTGTCTTTTGTCTTTTTTCCGTGTCCGGCAACGGATCGCAACCCTCAGTGTTGCCCCCGTACCGGACCGGGGACCGGCAACGGGATTGCAACCCTTGGTGTCGCTCCCGCGCCTCGCTCAGCCAGTGAGCGGGAGCCGGTCTGTATGTGGGATCCGAACCCTCGGGCGGGAGCGCCGCCGCGCTTCCCAAGCAGCGCACTATCCAGTGCTCCACCGGGCCGGCCCATACATGTGTCATTTAGATCCAGTTGGCTGATGGTGATGTTCAGTTCTTCCGTATCCTTGGCAATTTTCTATCTATTTATTCTAAGTTTACTTAGAGAGGAGTATTGACGTCTCCAACTATAACTGTGGATTTGTCTATTTCTCCTTTTGGTTCTATCAGTTTTGCTTCATGTATTTTAAAGCTCTATACTAGATGCAAACACTTTGGCGATTGTTATGTCTCTTGGTGATGACCCTTTTATCATACATAATATCGCTCTTAATTCCTGGAAATTTCCTTTGCTCTGAAGTCTACGTTGTCTGATATTAATACAGACATTCCAGTTTTCTTTTAGTGTTTTCCTAGAATATTTTCCATTCTTTTATACTTACAACCCACATCATTATATTTAAAGTATATTTCTTATAGACAGTATATAGTTGGACCTTATTTTCCATTCAGCCTGATAATCTCTGTCTTTATATTGGTGTTCTTAGACTATTCACATTTAATGTAATTACTGGCACGTTTAGATTATGGACTACCATTTTATTATTATTTGTTCCCTCTGATATTTTATTCCTATTTCCCCTTTCCTGCCATCTCCTAAACAATTCCATTTTATCTACCCATTGGGTTTTTAACCATCTCTTTGTATTTTATTTTAGTGATTGCTGTGAGGGTTTAAAATATAAGTACAGTCACGTACCACATAATGATGTTTTGGTTAACAACAAACTGCATATACAACGGTGGTCCCACAGATTATATAATGGCTACACCGTATAGCCTGGGGGCGTAGTAAACGGTACCATCTAGGTTCACGTATTACTTCAAGTGGGATGCACAATGCCCGTCCACATGCAGTCCCTTTACCACCCCTCCTTTTCTTACAGTGTCTTATGTACGGCATCTACACAGCTTGAAAATCTACCAGAAACTAGTTGGATTTTTGCTTCAACCATCCAATGTACTTTAAAGAACTCAAGAAAATACGAATACTGTATTATATTTATCATTCTGTTGTTATTTCTTCGTTCCTGATGTTCCGAATTTCCATCTGGTATCATTTCCCTTACACGTGAAGAAATTCCTTCAGCAATTCTTTTTAAAAATGTGTGTTGCCAACGAACTCTCTTAGTTTGAGTTCATCTGAGAACATTTTATGTCACCTCTGTTCCTGTGTCATTTTTGCTGGATATAGAATTCTGGGTTCTGGGGTCTTTCTGTTAGCACTTTTAAAATGTTGTCCCTTTTTCCTTCTGGCCTCTATGGTTTCTGATGAGGAATCCAGAGTCACTCAAATTATTGTTTGCTGTAAGTAATGCATCATTTTTCTATGGCTGTTTTCAAGATTTTTTTGTGTCTTTGATTTTCAGCAGTTTGACTATGATGTGTCTGGTATGGATTTTTTTGCAATTATCTCCAGGGTTCTCTAAACTTCTTGATCTGTAGGTTTACATCTTTTGGCAAATTGGGGAAGTTTTCAGCCATTATTTCTTCAAATAGTTTTTCCTGTGACATACTCTTTCTCCTCTGCTGGGACTCTGATGGCACAGGGGTCAGCCTCTTGGTATAATTACCCCACAGGTCAAGGCCAAGGCTTTGTCCAATGTCTTCCAACCATTTTCCTGTCTGTTGTTCAGGGTGGAACAATTCTATTGATTTGTCTTCAAGTTCACTGACTCTTCTGTAATCTCTTCTGCTATTAGGCCATCTAGTAATTTTTTTATTTTGGTTATTTTACTATTCAGTTCTAAAATTTTGATTCTTCCTCATATTTTCTGTCTCTTTACTGAGACCTTCTATCTTTCCATTTGTTTCAAAGGGGTTTGCTTTTATTTACTAGAGCATTTTTATAATGGCTGGTTTAAATTCTTTGTTAGTGTCATTTCAGTGCTGGTGTCTGTTAAATGTCTTTTCCCTACAAGTGGAGATTTTCCAGGTTCTTCATATGATAATTAATTTAGATCATATCATGGGCGTTTTGAACATTACAAAACTCTAAGTCTTACTTAAATCCTATGAAGAACGTTGAAATTTTTGTTTAGGCAGGAACCAGCCCCATTGGGTTCAGGCCACAGTTTCTGACCAGTCTCCTGTGGGCTGTGGTTCCAATGCCAGCCCCATTTCCGAAGCCTGGGCAGTGCTCCTGGATCTCCCCTGCATGTGCTCCCCCAGTGGGTGACCCTGGGACTGGGTGGTAGCCTATCCCACAGTTCAATTCTCAAAGTGTTTGATATGCTACCTAGGGTCAGACCCACACCTATGTGGCTTGGGGGCGCACCAAGGTCTCATGAACAACTTTACAAGGGTGATTCACTAGCCTCTCCCTCAGTGATCTCGCTGGTACATTCCAGTTCCCTGAAGAGCCCCTTTCAATTTTCTGACCGCCCTGCTGTGCTGCACACTTTCTTTTTTTTTTTTTTTTTTTTTTTTTTTTTTTCTTTTTTTTTTTTTTTCTTTTTTTTTTTTTTTCTTTTTTTTTTTTTTTCTTTTTTTTTTTTTTTCCTTTTTGTCTTTTTTCGTGTCCGGCAACGGATCGCCACCCTCAGTGTCGCACCCGTACCGGACCGGGACCGGCAACGGGATCGCAACCCTCTGTGTTGCCCCCGCCCCTCGCTCAGCCAGTGAGCGGCCAGTCTGTATGTGGGATCCGAACCCTCGGCGGGAGCGCTGCCGCACTTCCCAAGCGGCGCACTGTAGCAGTGCGCCACCGGGCCGGCCCAGTGCTGCACACTTTCTGCGATGGTGCCTGAATCCAGGGCCAAGCAGTGGGAGGACAGAGTGCTCTAAAAAGAGGCAGGAGCGTGTAAAAGAGCTAAAGTTCTTATCTATCATCATGGAAAGTCAGTATATAATGTCTAAAATCAATAAACTAAGAAACAGCAGTAGATGCATATTATTTAGAAAACAAAGGTAAATACCATAAGTCACAGCTAAAAGTGGAAAGTGGCTGCCTATGGAAACATAAATATTTTTATAAGGGGCGACTATTCACTAAAGGGAAAAAGATAGGAGTTGTCTAAAGAAAGAAAGATAATCATGATACATTACTTCATTTCACAGTAAATAACAATGTAATAATCATTAATGATATAAACCCTAAAATCTACTTAGCCAAAAATTATAGAATTTTTATAATATTTTTATTTTTCTTTGATTAACATCAACCACTCCTACCCAACCATAAATTCTATGGGATCAGGGATGTTTTTCTTATGGTACATGTAGGTGCTCAATGAAAATGCATTGACTGAATGAATGAGATAAAGAACTAACTGGTGTGGGGGCAGAGACAAGGCATTTCTAGGTTTCCATCCAGTCTGATTTGATAGGTGCTGGCACCATTATGTGAGAAATACAGGAAGAAGCAGAGGAGTGCTTTTATAGTACGGGAGAGTGAATCGAGCTTATGACCAGTTTCAGTTCACTGTTTTTGTTAATGATATCTGTTTAGAGCAGTGGTCCTCAACCAGGGGCGATTTTTCTCCCAGGAGACATTTGGCAATACCCACAGACTTTCTGGGCTGTCACAATTTGGGGGGTGCCCCTGGCATCTGGTGGGTGTAGGCAGGGATGCTGCTACACACCCCCAGTGCACAGGACGCCCCACAGCACAGGATTATCTGGCACAACGTGTCAATAGTGCTGAGGCTGAGAAATCCTGATTTAGAAGTGGTGTCCCTTGTGAAAACTGGCAGTATTTGATACGTTTGTGTCCTTGACATAGTAAAACCTTCAAAACACTCATGCCCCAATATAGCTTACAGTTCAAAAAGCAAAGGCAATGTAATGTTCATAAACCTAAAAGTAAATAGAATAAATATTTATTTATGTACGTACCCAGACTGGGGATGGGGGTGGGGGGAAGAAAGAAAGAGTGAGAGAGAATGGTGACGGCTTCGGGGTTTCTAATGGCAATTTTATAATAAGGACTCAAACGAGACTGTGTGGAAATGCAGCAAAATATAGTCCCATGATGAGGGACATTCCTTGTAATAAGAAAAGCTGCAACAATCAGCTGTTCCCTTATTCAGGTCCCCAAAGCATTATCCGAATCATAAATAACACTGAAAATGATAGTCGTCACTACAGTCAGCACAGAGGTGACATACTGAAATGGCAGGTACAGCCCCTTTCCTTTAGAAAAATGAGACAACTGAGCACACTCAAAGGCTCCTGTTTGCACAGCTGACACAGGCGTATTTTAGGAGTGTGAGCAGAAGAACTAAACAGCACACCCAACAGCACGCACTCAGAGTCAGGGTGCACCCCAGACACTGTCAGGGAAGTGGTCTCACGCCATGTCTGTGGCACCCAGGTCACTACTAATGATCCTCCAAGGCCAATGATGGGGCCAGGGGGAGGACAGGGATGTGACCCCTCACACACGCACTTCGGCCTACCCTCCCCTACCTTCATTTGCTTTCTGTATTAGGGTTCAGAGAACATTTCATTTCAGAATAGTTTTTTTTTAAACCTGAGAATCTCTGCTAAGGACCTACCCCTCTGTACTCAGCTGAGAGAGCCATGGTCCAGCAGGAATTAGTGACAAGTCACAAGGACAAGCCAGGGCTGGAAGCCAGACCAACTGGCTGCCACCACTGCACTCATCCTGCTAGGAAACCCACTAGCAAAGGCCACGAGGCCCATCCTCCTCCAATGCACCAAACGTACATAGCCAGAAGTGGATCTCATTGCAAAGTGTACAAATCAGAGTCACAGATCCACCAAGCCACCTCAGGAGATCAACAGGTGAACAAGGGTGACATAAGACCCAAAACTGGCCTCATTGAGTTTACATCTGACTAAAAATCAGCAATCATATTTATCTTAAGGGCATATCCAGGAACTGACATCTGCCAACACATTTGTCAACTTCTAGTTCTGAAAATGCATGAACTTGCTAGAAGCTCACCAGAGAAGTGTCATATGTAAGGAGTATCTATTGACGTACCTCTTCGGAGCTCATGCTGGCTGAGGGCACTTTATAGACCAGCCGGTGAAAAGGGTTGAGCTGGATCCCGCCCTGCAGAGGCAAGGTCACCCTCCCAGGACCGGCTCCCAGCGAGGGGTTCCAAGCGGCCCAGCGGACTGTGTGCATACATGCCAAGCTGGACAAAGATGTGGCTGAAGTTGCCTAGGGTGAAAACAGAGGGATGGGTGTGTGAGTCATCACAGGAGCCACCTGCAAGGGAAATCCATAGCACTCTCACCATGAAATTCAACCAGAGCACAGCACGACAAGGGGCAGGGACCGTCAGCTCCATTTCACAAAAGAAGAAACGGAGGCAGGAGGGGACAAGGCATCCCCGGTGCCAACAGCCTCCATTCTGAGACCCTCCAACCCGCCCAGGGCCCTTGTGTACCCACACGAGTCTTCTTTTCCAGCTCAAGGCAGCAATGCCTTCCCTCCTGAAGAGCAACACTGTTTTTACGCACCTGTTCCCAGAAGTTTCTTTCTGCAGGTTTGTAAACACTCTGTACCTTGCCAACATCTACTCAAAGGCATTAGGAAAATATCAGAAACAGCACTTTGTATTGGTGATAAGAAACTTTGTAAAATAATGAAGAATGCACATGTATATTCAACTTAGGGTTATTAGCATGTATTTTCTTCAGTGAAGTTTCAGCTTAAAATGGTGTATTTCATATGTGTAACTGTACATGAAAATGGGAAATCGATCAGGCCAAATTTTACGTACTGTTCCTTCGTTCTTCTCTGTCATTGGTCAAATTAAAGGAATGAGGACACTACAAAAATGCTTGGGTTAGCAGCCACATGTAAAGAAAATCATTCTCATAAACACGGTTTTAGGGCTTGACTCAGCAAAGTGTTCTAAAGTTACCATTTTCATCCATTTATTTAAAAAGTAGGAAAAACAATGCTAAACTCTGTGTCTTTGTCAGGTACTGAAATCCCCGCTCAGCCTGGGCAATGAAACTTGCAGTTTACCATCTCACAGAAGAGGACTTCAGAGATGACCGGCTCCAGCCAAGGCCCCAAACAACAGAATCTGTAGGCCCCTTGGGAGGCGGGACACACTGACATCACCGGGAAGGCCGATTCTCAGCCAGAGGCGCACAGGGTACAGGCAGCGCTGGGTCAGCCTGGAAACCCAGGGCAGAGCTCTTTCCTCTCCCAAGAGCACAGCTGCATGGACCTAAGTGAGTTGCGCAGAGTCCTGCCTCCACCTCAGACTGAGACAGCCCAGGGGAAGGGCAGCAGCCAGGCTCGGAGGCCATGTGCTGAGCAGAAGCCACCCAGGGCGGGGGTGGCATATGGAGCATGAGCCCAGCATTCCACTTCCCAGTGCTCTCCTGTGGGCAACAGAGACAACCACGCCCTTCAGGGACGAGGAAAGCAAAAGAATGGGGTGGCTCCTCACTGCCCCTGGGCAGTAGGCTTGGGGCTCCAGGGCTCACCTATGGGAGCCAAGGGGGTTCCCAGATGAAACAAGGCCCGTCCCTGTTAACTGCCATCTGAGAGCACAAACTCCAGCAGCCTGGAAGCAGGGGCCTCCCGCTCCTGACAAGAAACAGAAGCCAATGTCCTGCCTGGGATGAGTAGAGAACACGATCCACCAGGAAAGGAGATGCCAAGGGGACTCGCCAACTTGAGCTGCACTGAAGCCAGTGAGGACGGCAAGCGGTGGTGGCTGGGGTCCCAATGGACCGTGCATATTTGGCTGGACACAGAGGAGTGGCCGTGCCACTGTCACTGCCCAGACAGACTGCAGTCACATCCAAGGCAGATCCCCACGCACGCACACACATGCACACACACATACAAAACACACAAAAGGCCTCTGGCTGGAATCGTGATGCAGACAGCTCCATGGGCTGGTGGGTTAAACCACAGCCAAGGTCACACATGAGCAGATCCAAATACAGAAAAGGAAACAGTCCTTGTTTCATCCAAGCCAGTCTCTTCCAGACTGTTCCTTGCTGGATGATACTCCATCCCATTATATCCTTTATATCTGTGTGGGGAAAAGTCCAGAATCAGCATCTAATTTTAAATTAACCTTTCCTCCCATCATCACTGGACCTCAAACGCCCACTTCAGCAGGACCCAGACTGATCCTTCCTGCAGCTAAACCGTAGATCACAGCTCAGGATCCTGCCACATTCCCACCCCTGTCCAGGGTAAGCAGGGATCTGGGTTCCTGGCAATTCAATAAGAAAAAAACCCACATCCTGGAAGTACAAGCAAAGAATCGGAAGAGTAAGAAACGGAAGCACGTGGCCCTGTGCCACGCTTCCAATGTGTGTCAAACACAAGAACGACAGCTGCCTCCTCCCCGGCCGGCTAGCTGGATGGATGACAGGTTGTAAAACAGCACTGAGCAGCTAGAGCACAGCAACGGAAAGTCGATTATAAACCCATGGCTCCTTAAAAATAAAATCACTATAAATGTACTAGGAAAACTGGTCACTAAAAAACTGTAGGGACTCAACAACGTCTAGACTACTTCTGTAAGCAGTCCTCTCCTATAAAATACAGAAGCTTATTACAGGATCAAAATAAAATGAAATAAATTATGTATCCAATTTTTCATGCTACTTGTGCAACTCTTTCTGGTTTAATTTGTCAAATTAGGTGATTCCAATATCTAATTTTCCAATTTCACAGTTCTTTTTGGTTTCTGGGTTCTCAATCGATATAAATCTCTTCTGTGAACTGTCAGTTACATAAATATCCATTTTTCCTCACCTTTGTCTTTACAGCTCTAACAAACAGGGACAGTTAAGTGAGTCATCGATCACTCCTTCTGAGACCTCAGGAGATAATCAGGGCCTAGTGGCAGTCCAGCTGCCAATCACTGGCTTCCACTCTCTTACAACCAGCCCACAGAGAACCTCCCCAAACCTGCTGGCTCTAAGGAGAAGGTCGAGTGCATCGAGCACGTGGGCAGAGCAACAGCAGTTATTTCGTTGGCTCCTCCTATTAGCGAATTCCAGCAGTTGACATTAGATCAGCTACTTTATAATTTCTTATTCTGCCAAATTTGCCAAATTTGCATTTGAATTCATGCAAACTGAAAAAAAAAAAGCCCAAAATATACTGAATTATTCCCATTTAGACTTTTAACTAAAATAGCAAACAATATGCAAAAGGCCAAAGGAATACACCTGAATTATGAGCCAGGTTTTGTCTTGGCACAGAAGTCACCAGGCAAAGCCACAAACAGAAAACAGACACCTGACCTTTGGAAATGCTACAAAGCAGAGTCCCTGTGGAGGCTGCAATGGTGGCTACAAAAAGATACGTCCCCATCCCAACCCCTAGAACCTGTGACTGTGGCTTATTTGAAACAAGGGCCTTTGCAGATATAATTAAGTATTGTGAGATGAGATCATCCTTGATTATCCAGGTTGGCTCTAAAAGCACTGGCAAGAACAGGGCAGAGAAAGACTAGAGACAGAGGGGGAGACACAGAGAGGACAGCCATGTGACGACAGAGGCAGGGGAATGAAGGGACGCAGCCACACACCAAGGGTTGCCAGAAGCCACCAAAATGAGCAAGAGGCAAGCAGGGCTCCTGCCCCAGAGCCTCTGGAGGAACACCGCCCACCAACGCCTGGACTGGGGCTCAGCGGAATGTATTTTGGATCTGTGGCCTCCAGAATTGTGACAGAATAAATTTCTGTTGCTTTAAACCACCAAGTTTTATGGTATTGCTACAGCAACCACCCCAGGAAACTGATATAGTTCCCTGATGGCTTCTGTCCTCAGATTAAGGTGAACTCACTTGGAGGAACGTCATGTTATTTCATGAGCTCTAGTTTCCTTAGATTTTCAGTGAGACCTTTTCCTCCTGCCTGGGTCACCACACCACTGACTCAGGACACTGCTCTGCTGGGACCATCAGCCCCAGGGACTGAGAATTCACAGGGAGGTCCCAGGACACCCTGTCTGGACAATGGGAGGGGGTCCCACCCAAGCTACGCACACTCCACTGCTCATAAGTCCATTTCTTGAGACAAAAGAGTCAATGGATGTGACCACATTTGGGCACTTGGCCAAACACAAATTTTAAGAAGACAAACTCTTGCGTCAAAACATCTCTGAATATTCCCCATAGCACACAAATAAATCACAGAGAAAAGAAGGGGCAGCTGAAAGAAGCAAAAAACAGAAAAAAAATTAGGTAAGATCATTGTGGAGGCCTAAGATCACTGTGGAGAAACAGGCTCGGACCCTGCCAGGGAACAAGCAAGTTTCCGCTCACACAGTGTGAGGCCACCGCAGCAGTCAGGGCTGGCCGACACAGGTGCCCTCCACTATGTGCGTCACTCACAGAACCACCAGCACGCCCTGTGTGATGACAACCACCTAGGAGCAGGTACCAACAGAGCTATCGACCGCACACAGTAGGGGCCTGAGGACCGACCCAGGCATCACGAGCCAAGGGCATCTCAGGAGGTGGAGCCAGGTGTCCACCACCTGCACGATGGGCTGGGCACACAGGAGCGTTCTGGGAACTCGGACAGCAGCACAGTCCAAGGTTCCCTTCAGATGACCTGTTTTCGAGCATCTCCTCAGAGGACTAACTCTGGGTCCTTGGCCGCTGAGGCGAACTTTGCAAGGCCAGAGAGACTGAAGCCCACACAGCGCAGAGTGACAGGGAGCAGGCGGCCACAGCTATGTCGTCCCCTCTCCTTCCCTGCTGAGGAGCAGGGGGCCCGGGCGCCACACCCTGGGCACAGCCACTGCCACTTCTCCAGCAGAGGTTTGCACACCGGTTGCCACAGCCTGAAGTCATTCCTTCCATAAAAGGGATCAATTATATGCCAAACCTTGCCCAAATTAGATGTACAGCAAACTTGGCAGCTGCTGTAGGCTAATTTCCCTCACACATTCACGGTGGAAAAGGAAGCCTAACAACATGTAATTAAAGTCATTTAATCTGCCCATAGAACACAGTATATGCAGTGTCATTTAAAGCACAGTAATTATTTAATAGGCAATATTTTCAGTTCATTCTACTGAGTAATTATTTTTAAGTATATACATGAGCAATGAAAAACAGTGAGGGATGGTTTTAAAGATATAACCTAGTATAACTCTTCATACTGGCTAACGGTTCACAAAACTTTGGCCCCCTGTGCAAAACAGGAGTCAACCTGACAATG